ACAAGTGGCGGGGGGGGGGGTGGGGGGGGGTGGGGAGGGGTGTCCACTTTATTTCTCCAACTTTTTCTCTTGTACTATGTTTTAAATTATTTATTTATTTAACCTAACTACTAGGGACAAGGGTGCTGTCCTGGGGATAAGCCGCACCAGAGGGATCCCACAACGGGGAGATTCTGGTAACAGGGTGGAACTAGGAGTTTCCTGGATTACATGCAGAACCGATGCAGCAGCGGCGGAGGGGGCACCGGTTGTAGGACTCCTCACTGCTGGGCACCAGCTGTAGGAGTATGGGGGAACACAGGGCCGATGGGTAGGAGACAAGCAGGGGATCTAGATCATCTAATTGACTATTCTCATTACCAATTAGATGATTCTGCCCTATTTTCAATTGGCTAAATACATTACAGGTGCATCAAAACAAGCAGGTACACAAAAGGATTACATTTTTTTTAAAAAGCAACCACAGTACTAGTACAAAATCCTATCCCCTACCAGCTGTAGGGAAGTTCATGATCCAGGGGTGTGGAAATATTTTTTTAAATCTACTTGTCCAAGGACTAAAGTGGGGGCCCGATCTACTTGTCCCTCATGGCAATCTACTTGTCCTGATACAAAAAAATAATTTTAACCAAAACCGTATTTAGCAGTGCTAAGAAGAGCTTCTCATTGGTCAGCACCGTCAGGTGACCGTGCTGACCAACGAGTGCTTGCAATTTGCTAGCGAAAATCAGAATACATGGCACAGGTACAGATAAGTTCACCCGTACTGGCGGACGGGAAGGACCGTTCGCTGAAAGGTAAGTATAACGGGAGGGAGAGGGGGGCCAGATTTGTGCGGGTAATTCCATTTTCCCAAATTACTTGGGAAAGTGAATTTATCCTTTAGGGCTGGTGCAGACTTGGGCGATCATGTGCGGTTGCTGCGCGGTCCCATTGATTTCAATGGGGTTACATCATTGCTCACATGAAGAGCAGAGAACGGACGTTCCCCAATCTCCATCCTGATCTAATTTGCTATGGTCCCAGGTTGTCCTCGAAGACCACGACAGGGCGAGAGCCAGCGGGCAGGGAGACAGGCAGCGACTGGGGACACGGGCGGAGGGCAGCGGCCAGAGGGAGAGACGGGAGGGGAAGTGGAGAGAGGGGAGTGAAGAGTGAGCACCGGGCTGCTTACAAGTGATCTTGGATGACTGTGCAGCAGGTGAAGATCACTTGTACAAAACGGCTCCCCCACTACATTTAGCCCTGCTGCCTGCCCGCAGCAGGACTGAATGTAGAAAAAAAAAAAACCTACTCGCCCGGCATTGCATGTCTCAGGCGTTTCCACACACCTGTCTTTCGCTGTGATTTCCACTGATTGGAGGGCTCTAACTCTGACTAAAAAGGTGGTGTTGGACCTCTGCATGGAGACCACTGCTTCCACAGAGCACAGACTTTCTAAACAAAATGAACTGTAACATTGCACACCTTTTGTTTTGATGCATCCGCAATGTAGTTGGCTCAACTAAACTTCAATTAGGCTTTAAATGAAAACACATGTAATAAAACTAACCTACAGTATATAAGAAGGTACATCCCTTTTTTGCCGTTACTGAGGCTAATACAGAAAAACATTAGGTGCTACCTACTTCAACCACATTCCTGAGATTTTGTATAGCTCATATTAAAAAAAGGAGGAAGCACCTGAGCATACTCCTTCCTTAGCTGAAACATTTCTTAACCAATGACAAGTTTGCATACGGATTCAGTGAGCAGAATTGATCCCTCTACCATGTGCTTTTGTGCAGACAACCAAAACACTATTTATTTATTTTTACCTTTGAAGAAAAAGCAACAAATAGGACTCCATCCACATCCTCCAGGTCTGGCTTGAAATCTGGGACCTGTGGAGTCTCTATAGGCGGCTTCTTCTTTGGAGGGCGTCCTACTTTAGCACCTTTATTCTTAGGAGGTCTCCCTCTTCTTTTCGGAACAGGTGCCGCACCACTCTCACTTCCTGGGGTTACGGTTGCTTTAGGCTTGGCTGGAACGGAAGGGAGCTTCTTTTTGCGTCCACGGGTGGATCGCACATTGACTGGGACAGCATAGTCAGCATAAATTTTTCTTTTAATAGGTCTTTTGTCATCAGTTCTAGTGAATTCTTCCGTTTTAAAGGAAGTAATGCTTGGGGAATCATTAATAAACTCTTCTTGTTTAATGCTCCGCATTGTGTTATTTGTCAACACTTTCTTAGCAGTCTTCTTAGTAGAACATGACTCCAGGTACACTGTCGGCATTTTCCCATCATCAAGTTTCAGCAATTTTGCTTTTGCCACCCCAGATGGACGTCTTACAGAGTGCTTCCGATGTGAGCGAAGCTTTGTACTAAACTGTGCAAAGTGCCTCTCTAAAATTGGATAGTCATCATCGCTGTTTGAGAAGTTATCAGTTATTTCCTCATCAGAATGCTCTTGTTTAACTTGTACTCCTGTGTTATATTCAGTCTTATTGTAATCATAGTTGTCCTCGGGTTCTTCCTTGATTTTAATTTTAGGCAGCTCTGCAGGTACAGATGGAGTTGCCACAACACGCGCGTCACCCAAACTATGAAGGAAAAAGGAAAATAAAAAAATTAAACTTGCGCATTTATTAAAATTTTCAAAATCATTAGATTCCCCATGGTCCCTGTGCGTGTTTTAAGGTAGACACCACTCCAAGCTCCCTCCTGTGATGGACTACAATCTCAGGTTTATTTTACCAATTGAAAAGTAGCCACCCTCCAGAAGCAGGGGTCCTCAAACTACGGCCCGCGGGCCACATCCGGCCCGTAAGGGTCCTTAACCAGGCCTGCTCCTGGCGGTGGGTTGTGGGCGATGAGATGCGGGTGAAGGGCGACGGGTGACAGGCACCGGGTGGCGCTGTCTTCACTCCCTCCCAGTGGCGTAGCGGGGGGGCCCTGCCCATCGAGGGGGCCTGTCACCGCTGCATCAGATGCGGCTCTCTAATTGGGCCGCCGCTCCTCAAGGGGTCCTTAGGAGGCCCCAGCGGGCGGACCTCTACGATGCCTGATTAGAGGGCCGTGTCTGCCTGATCCAGACAGCCCGGATTGCATACGAGGCAATCAGGCATTGTAGAGGGCCGCCCACTGGGGCCTCCTAAGGACCCCCCTGAGCAGCGAGCGGCCGGCGATTACAGAGCGGGCGGGCTGACCGGGCGCAGGTGGCAGAGAGGTGGCGGAGGGAGCCACTGCAACTGCGGCCACAGCAGACCCCCCACAACCAGGGAGCCCCCACTGACCACCAGGGTAAGTTAACAACTCTGTTAAAATAAAATCAAGGGACATTTTTAAATGTCCCTGGGAACATAAATTAAAACATATATATATATTTTAATACTCGCCTGATCCCTAGATCCACCGACGAACGCAACGTCCCATCTCCCACGCTGTCAGAAGCTGCAACAGAGCGTGCTGGTTACTACTTAAACCGGCGCGCGCTGTGTGCAGCTTCTGAGAATATACGCTATTAGCGTAGCGGAGAAGCCGGTTGCGCATTTTGCAGAGCTCCTGCTACGCTAATAGCGTATATTCTCAGAAGCTGCACACAGCGCGCTCCGGTTTAAGTAGTAACCAGCACGCTCTGTTGCAGCAATTTTTTCTATTCGGCCTGGCTTCCTGACCAATCAGGAAGCTGGACAGTACGTCATGACTCGTGTCACGGCTTCCTGATTGGTTAGGAAGCCGGGCTGCCTACCAACAAGTGAAGCTTGCTTCCCAGCCAATCAGGAAGCCATGATGCAAGTCATGACGTACCACCTGGCTTCCTGATTGGTCAGGAAGCCAGGCTGCCTAGAAAAAAGTGAAGCCGGCTTCCTAACCAATCAGGAAGCCAGGAGGTGGGTCAGAACGTGCCGCCCAGCTTACTGATTGGTTAGGAAGCCAGGCTGCCTACCAACTGAAGCTTGCTGCCTAGCCAATCAGGAAGCTGGGCAGCATGTCATGACCCGCCTCCTCGCTTCCTGATCCGGCCCCCAACAATGTCTGAGGGACAGTGAACTGGCCCCCCGTTTAAAAAGTTTGAGGACCCCTGCTCCAGAAGGAAGGACAGTGTCAGCACCAATTCAGAGATGATTTGAGGATCTACAGCCGAGTGATATACAAAAAAAGATACATTTTTGTTAATAGTTAGAGTTCTTGAATGCACTTTCAAGATTTAACTCCTGAATTTAGTGTCACTTTTAGGGAAACCATAATGATTTGTGGTCAAGTTTAAGTAAACACTTTTTCCGCACACAAGAATGAAAAAATTTAGTTGTACTATTTACATTAAACATTTTTTTTTTAAATGTTATTACGCAGGTTGCAACCATGACACTGGTTTCACAAATTATGTTGGGCTTTCTAAAGAAAGCATAGCACCATCGCAGTGTTACAGAATCAGGAAGCGGACATATTTCTAACAAAGTAGTTAAGCAAAGAGGAGTGTGATGGCTCTGGAGCACACAGAGAATTGTTGATTCACATTGCCATTCTCTGAGACTCCCTTTAATTGACAGTAGCCCTTTAACATTTTTCCTGTCAACCAGTAAAGCCACTATTCAGTATCCTTTAAACATTTCAGAATGTCCTAAATCACAATTAAACTAAAAATATCAAGTCCCCTAAAGCTGGCCATACACCTAACGATTATCTGCAGATTTTCTATGGTCATATGGAAAAAGTCCAATAGATTCCATCTACACTAAACTGTGTGGATGGAGGAATCTCCCACTGGGCCGAGCTTCAGTATCTTGCTAGTCGGCCCCAATGGCTCTCAAAATACCTGAACAATGCCTGCATCCAATCAGATTGTTCAGGTATTTTGACAGCCAGCAGGTCGGACTAGCAAGATACTGAAGCTTGCCGCAGTGGGAGATTCCTTCATCCACACAGTTTAGCATAGATGGAGGAATCTGTTGCACTTTTTCCATCTGGCCATAGAAAATCTGCAGATAATCTATAGGTGTATGGCCAGCTTAAGGTTTATTTTTTTTAAAATTCTTTATTACACACCAGTATTAACATACATTACACCGAAAAAAGGAAATAAGGCATCCGCCTTACTCATATTATCAGAATACATTGGGACAGCACATGCATGTCCTCACGCAGGATGAAATACATTTAATTGGACAAAAGTAATGCAGTACACGCAACAGAAGCAAGTATCATAGCATTGAACCTAATACAGGTGTCGTACATTAATTGCATCGTACATGAGCATGACCTCCATAGTATCTACCACTTAATGATAGTCTAGTCCCTGAAAAAGATAAACAACATAGTACAGCTTCGTGGTGTAGGAGTGCGACTTCCAGCCCTTTACTGCAATATGGATGTGGACATCCATGCAAAATCCGTCCTGAGCACACGGCTTGGTGGCCTTGGATAAAGGGAGGTGTAAACAGCTTTCTCCAGAAGTGGAGAAGTAGAAAGAAAAAGAGAAAGAGGGACATAAGCACAGGGATAGGGACAGAAGCGAGAGTAAGGGCAGGTCTCCGCTCTCTCTCCCTATGAACTAGCTGAGCTACCAGGAGCTTGCTCCGTCATAGCCCTCTGGTAAGTGTCTGAGTATCGGAAGTGGAGCCAGGCTACCCAGGTCGCGCCAAACCGTTCCTCAGTGTTATGGATAGATGCTGTGAGATCCTCCATACGATATACTTCATTAATTTTCCCGAACCAGAGCCGCAGAGTTGGGGGGTCAGGTTGCCTCCATAGCAAAGGGATACACGCTTTGTTAAGGTTTATTTAATAAGATCTAAAGTGCAACTACCATGGTAACCTATTCGCTTTGATTTCTCCGGTTATGTGAGAAACAGTGAAATCGGACTGGCTGCTACTGGTGAGCACATCTTTGCCCTGCCTTGTTAAAGATTGATATACAAAGTTCGGGTGGATCAAAAAAGTATTTTTGTATCCCTACTCCCCCTGTAGCGATACAAAAGACTATGCAGGCAGGTGAGGAGGAGCTGGGCCAGCAGAAAGTAATTTGGCACTACCAGAAGAGGAGAGGACTATGATGTGCAAGGAGGGATGGGGTTGCTGTAGGGAATCGACTAGTCAATCTTTATGGAAAGGGAAAATGCTGAAAGTAAGCATTTATACTACTTGATTATTCTGTGCTTTTACTTGCAATGTTTTAAGTTGGTGACAGTCTCTTTAAATAAGGTGAACACTGTTACAAAATTATAAAGAGAACATGTTTTTCTTTTACCTGTCAAGTTTATTTAGTTTTTGCAGTAATTTCTCTAGGACTGTGGTCTGAGAACTCGAAAGACTGAGCATTTCTTGCTTGGCATTCAAAGATTCATTTTCAGTTTCAGCATCAGACTGTTCAGACATGGAAAAAGAATCCTTTAGCCTTCCAGTGCTTTCTTGGTTATCATTTTCTAACTTTTTGCTGCCCGGTGAGTCTTTTTCTTGTGCCAAATTCTTAGGTCTGCCTTCTCTAAGAGGCCGCCCCACCACAGTCCCTTCCCTAAAACCTTTGGCAAAGGGATTGCAGTCAATCTTTAGCTGGGTAATCTGAAGATTCTGATATGCTGTTACTGCAAAAAATTCCGTCTGTGGAAAGGTGAAGGTATGAACATCAGGTCCGTTGAGTTGGATTACTTCAGTGGCCTTGTCAGCGGGTATCACATGTAACCTTGGCAAGTAGCGGTGCATAGAGTGAAGGATGATGTGACCTTCTTGGTCCATAACATTATTAGTCAACTTGAGTTTATAGAAAGAAACCGGTTGGTGCATCCAGTACTGCCCTGTTGATGGAGACTCAGGATGAATGAACGCCCTTCCTAGAACATGTGGATCTGCTTTTCCACCAGATTCCCACCACTTTCCATTCCACTTGTACTTGTGAGTATCCAATGGAGTGATGTCCATAGCAAGGATGTACTTCTGGTAAGGATCCATACCCGAAATCCAGTAGCGACAATAAGGAAACATCCTTCTTCCTTGCTTTGTTAATACCATCTCTGTGCTACACCGGTAAAATTCATTCCACATGTTGTTATTATCCAGGCTCACGGTAATTCCTAAAGAAGTACAATCAGCTGACAGAAAAGTAGCAGACTTGGATTCGTGAGGTCCACGCTGGACAACCGGCGCAACTGCTGATGCATCCCGATTGGCTACAAGGATCCTTTCTTCTTTTTCATCACCCTGTGCCTGGTGTAGGATAACAAAGTAAGCAGGGGTTGTTGATGGAGGTTTACTCCCACTTTCTGGAGGCGCTTCTTGAGTTTTATTTTGCTCCATGATGGCCATAAATCTTGGAAGCTTACTCAGCAGGCCGCAAACACCATCGGAAAGTCATTTGCCTATCAATGGATAAAAATGAAGAGTTAGAAAGTCATTTAATTTTCAAAAAGCAATGTCATAATGTTCAGTCCAATTGACAAAGTATAGACATTATTTAATCAACATTAAAAAGCTAGTAAAGGCCATTTCTTTGCGCAGATCTCTGCTTCATCAGCTTCTTTGGGGGTCCCTAGGTGACATTAGGGGTCTTGGAGACCACTGATGTCTCCATAAAGAGGACCTGTCACATAGAGGGGTTTCTTTCGCTGCCAAGGACGTACGGCACACGGAGCTACAAAAGTGCTTCCAGCTGGCCAGCTCAGTATGCCGTACGGACCTGGCATTTACAGTTCTACTATCAGCTTATAGTAGAACTGTTCAGCAGACTGTCCCCTTTAAATTAATAGCTGTCATCAGCGGCTCACAAGTCGCTGATGACCGCTATTTTCAAAAATACCGCCCCCCCCCCGCCGTCAT